AAATTATGAAAGGCATGCGAAAACTTACGTCTCCGCTTATTGTTGCGCATTTGCTTGGAGATAGTTGTGAAGGGGGAAAAACCAATAACAAAATTTCCACTTCAATCTTTTGGCATCCTTTTATTATGCTGGCAAGCTCATGGTAAAGTCGGAAACAGGCAAAGTGAAAGGAATAGGCAGGCGATGAGAGTTAAGCTAAATATTCTCAGCAAACTGAAAATAAACCAAACTCAAGGATGAGATGAAAAAGTGATGCCAAAGATTCGCCAGGAACTGTGCCCACTTAGGGTTGACTCCTTGATGCTGTGTGGATGGATGATATGCATTCTTTTGCTATCAAAAAGTTCCAGAAGAACGTATTTAAAGCTGTTGCCCAGCTTCCTCTTTGGGGAATCTTCTTGCGACCTTCGTTTGCGTGTCTTCCACTTCCGCTTCCACTGCGTTTGGGAATTTTCTTTTATTTTCTTTGCTTTTCTGGCGGTGTTCTTTGTTTTCGCCCGCTTTTTAATTGCCACTTACGCGCTCTGGCTTAGACCAAAGCCCCCCGTCAAAAGCACTTACCTCCTGCCCCTGCCCCTGCCCCTGCCCCGCTTCCTGCTGCAACTTTTGTTCTGCTTCTGCTTCGGCTTCGGCTTCTGCCTAATTTATATTTATTTTTTTTTGGCAATGCCTTTTTATCCCTTTGTCATTTCGGGCTGGCAGGGGTAGTCGAGGCTGCGACATAAATTAAAGTCAACTAATTGCGTATACGCCGCGTGTGCCTTAAGTGGGCTTTGGGCTCAAGGACAGCACGATCCTGAATTTCCGCTCTCCGCTCTCTCTGCCGTTAGTGTCTGTTCCGCTCTCTCTCTCTCTCTCTCCAGGCTTCGTTTTATTATCCCAAAATACTCGCGAATCCTTCTGAGGATTTGTATGGCCATGATTTAGTAGTGTGCAGCGTCATTAAAATTTAATTAAATGCCCATGGGCAATCACATAAGGAGAGCACACAGGACACAGAGTACGCAGTACACAGTACACAGTACACAGTACACAGGAAAGGACACGGGTGACACCACAGCAGCATCAGCAGCAACTGAATCATCATCATCTTCCGAGGAGAGAACATCATCAAGTGAAATGTGTGTTCGTCTTGGAGCATGTAACAATTTATAACAGGATGAACTTGTCTCCTCCTGCCGCTCACACAAACACACACACACATGGAGAAGAGAGAAGAGGAACTACGGATGCAGGCCCAAAGTGTAGCCTGTGAATTTATTCAGCCACTCCACTCAAATTTTTCTTTTTGCACGGAGAAGCTCACAAGCAGCAGCGAGTCTCGCATTCCATTGGGCAATTTCAATTTCAATTTCCATTTAAAATATAAATTAAAACAATTCAAAGTGAGCAAATAACAACGGAAAAACACTCGAGGAAAATATATTTAACATGTGGAAAATGATTGCTTCTGCCGAACACGATTCAACATGAGAAACAAATCGAATTCAAAGTAGTTGACCAATAACCAAATGTACTTGTTGGCTGGATCACTTTGCCATAAGGCTCTTGATCAGCATTTAGCACTTGCCGCGGTCCTGCATCATTTTCCAAGCCAAAACCAGGGACACGGTTGCGTAGGCTCTGCCCCACATATGTACCCTGGCAGTAAGAGGCCGAGTGGTGGAAAAAATCATCATCATAATCGTTGTCATTGTCATTGTCATCGTCATCAGCCAGGCATGATAATGATAACAATAACAAAACAAGCGCCGCGTCAATGCCTGTGCGTAGAAGGGGCAAGCGCGAAGAGGGAGTGGGTGGATGGTGTGGGCTGGAAATATATGTATCAAGATTGTTGCCATATTGCTATCATTTGCACGCAATCAGCGGCGGCGGCCTCAGCGTCAGCGTCAACGGGATGCGTAACGAGACGTGGAAGGAGGAAGAAAAAGGCAAGAAAGGGAAAGGAAAGGCGGGAAAGGCAAGGGAAAGTGCAAAAGAATCTAAGGAGGCAGCAGAGGGGCGAGCAAAAAAGAGACGACTAAAGTGGAAGCAAAATAATGTATGCATGGGGCTCGCACCTCCTCCACCCACCGCCCCCAAATAAAACCGTTTGAACAGGATGAGAGCGCGGATGACGAGGAGATTGCTCGTCATCGTCATCGTACCTCTCCCCTGTGCCGTCTCCGTCTCCGTCTCCGTTGTGCCGATGCTTCCCAAACACCAAATTGCAGATAAAGTATAAATAAATTTTAATAAATAGCATAAAAAATCAAATTTCCCATCGGAATAAAAAGAAATATGCCACAATTTTGGCACCCACCAGCTGTTCCCCACGGGTAAGTGGATAGTCGAGAGAGAGATACAATTTTATTGTGGGGTGGCCAAACACTCAGTTTAAACTGAGAGGCAAAAGAGTCTCGGTAGAGATCGGTTAAGATACCGTTGGTAATTTGATGATCGAACCCAAAGACATGCCCTAAATGCACGAACAAATCATCTACCCACGAATATATGGATTCACATTCATCCATTGACATCGACTCGTAGGATTGCTGATCATTTGGGAACAAATTGTACAAGCCGAAGAGATATGTGCACAAATTTAGGTTGCCTCCACCCACCCACCCATTCATCGTCTTGGTGTATTTTGTTTTTACATATTCGTAATTGCCTATTAGCTTAGCTTTTGTTGATTTTGCTGCGCTCTCTCGGTGCGCCGGACCAGCCTGGCACGTGACGTGCAGTGACTTTGGTTTTGGTTTTGGTTTTTGGTTTGTGGCTTCGGGCTTTGGGCTTTGGTTTCTTGTATCGATTCGACATTTGCTATCTTTGTATCCTCCCCAGCCCTTCTGTGGCGTGGCCTCTGGGCTAATGGTCAAAGTGTTTTCATCGGATCAATGATGGATAATTGTGGCAGGGCCAAGGCATTGCTTGTGTTCCAAAGGGTATCGAAAGGGGCTACATTGCTGTACCCATAGAGTGGCAGACGCTTGGCAATGTAAAGGCAAGGGATCCCCAAGATAGTTTACAGAAAAATCTTCACAGAACAGAGGCTGATGTTGAGTCCTGCTCTAGTTTGAAATCCACCAGCTGCACCTGCACCTAACTCTGGCATTTTGGTTGTCTTCCTTTACATTCGACTGTTTGGCGCTTGCTTTGGAGCTTCTGTCTATGAATTAACTTCCCAATTACTAACCACAGACTAAGTGTACTAGTACAACTATGAGTAAATATTTCAAATACTCTCTCTTTTTGACTTATTTCTTAATATTTTCATTGCACTGTTCAAGTGTTTTTCTCTGGCCTTTTCTTGTCATTGTTTTTCATACGTTTTTGGCGGGTTCGTTGAACTTGGCATCCGGCGGCTGGCCGCGTCTCGAGTCTCGACAATTATTTCATTGTGTGGCATCTCCCAGCCGCTATGTGCCACTGTCCACAGCTGGGATGGCTTGGCGTCGCATATTTGAATGACTGTATGAAGTGCAACCGTCAGCCCCGCTATGCCAATCGATTCCGAGTCCGTTTCAGTCGTTTTGCAAATTGTAAAGCAAATTGGCTGATTGAAAAGTCATGAAAAGAGAAGAGAAGAAGAGCGGACAACTTTTTGCGCTGCTGAATGGGTAACCGCAAAAGTAAAAACCAAACCAGCATAAAGTCGGACAAGGCCACATCAAAGTGCCTCCCTTGGCTGCCCTCGCCGCTACCCAAAACAGCAATTGCTAGAAAATATTCATTTTCATTTTCTCTTGATGTCTGCCTTTTGTCTGTTGTTGCATCTCAGCATCTTTTGTTGTTTGTTGGCCCGCTTCTTCGTGCCGGCTGGCCGGTTGGCGGCAACTGATTAATTGGCTCGCCTCTCATTTGTCTAACACCCATCAGCCATCCACCCATTCTGCCCCCATTCCGTTCTGACCCTGCGCCACATTCCAAGTGTCTACTTTGCTTGCGAGGCATTCACTAGGCCTTGCCTCGCCATTTGTTCAATAATTGTGATGCTCTCGATTCTGAATTCTGCGCATTTTAATTGTGCTAAAAATAGTGCAGAGCGCAGGGATCTACTCGGCATTAAGTATTAAAATCGGGTCAAAAGATGTACAAAATGTTGTTAATTGTTTGCTGTAAGTAGAGAAACCGAATGCGGAAAGCACACAACGGATACTTATATTTTTCCAATTGCCAGCAGCATTTATTTAGCGCTATTAATGTTTTTATTGCCCGCCTTGTTACACTTGTTACGTGTAATCGGTCGTCGGGTGTTTCGTGTGGCTTGAGGTAAGATTGGAAAAATCAAAAAAATGCATTAAAAATACATATCCAATTAAATAAATATAAGCCCAAAACATCAGCAAGAATTGCTGGCATCTAGATGGGGAAAAAACAACATCGTCTTATGATATTTATTTAAGATAAATCTTCCATCGCTCGTCAAATATCTGTCATCACTCTTTGCCTCACTGAAAAAGTCAGAGAAAGACCACGGCACAGTCGCTCTCGCTTTGCCTTGCTTGTGTTGTCTGCTTCGGGCTTTTCGGTTTCGCGTCTTGCAATAACAACTTAAGCTGGTCGTAAACGTTGCAACGGCTGCACGGGGAGCTTTCATGTGTAGCTGTGTGGCTGCATGCTTTGCCTGCAGCTTTGATCAGACAGAGGGCAGAAAGAGACAGACACAGCTCAAAAGCTCAAAGCACATGACTGCGTGCATAAACACGCATAGAAACGCAAAAACAATTTTGTTGCGAAAAACAGTTACAAAAGCGAATAGCCGAAATCGGTCTCGCCAAGAGACACCACAGAAGTGTTTACAGTTACTTGCGAGCTATGAAATCCTCACCTCAGCGCATGAAGTGCGTTTTGTTTTCAGTTTTGTAACTGATTACCAAATAATGCAAATAATCTTTTGATCTATTTCATTTTTATTACGAATTTTATTCAACTCTCCTGCTGGAGTGCAACTAGAACTAGGCTTACGAGCTATCACAATGTTGGCTATAAGTCTCTTGGCTGGTTACTGCCACTCAGATGCGCACAAAGCGTTCGCTGCGCTGCGAAAAGTGAAATCCGCCGTAGTATTCCTCGAGGTCGCGCAGCTCACGTTCCAGCTGCGCCTCCAGACGCGCTCGTGCTTGGGCCTGGGCCTGGGCCTGGGACCGCTGACGGCTGGTAGAGGGCCCGCGGAGCGGACTGCGCAGGCTAAGGCGTCGTCGCACCTTGAGGTCGCCCACGTAGTCGTACAGTGGCGACTGCAGCGAGGGCAGTGGCTCCTCGGGCACCAGACAGCGGCTGGGATCCGTGTGCGAAGGGAAGCCCCGCGGCGTTGTCTGGCCAGAGAGTGCCTCGCTGGTGTTGTGCTTGGACTCCTTTTGCTGCTCCTGTTCCTGCTCGAACATGCACTTCCATTGTGCGTAATGCAGATCGGCAGTGGATATGGCGCCAGAGCCAGAGCCTGAGCCGGACCCAGAGCTGGGCGTTGTCCGGCGCTTGGTCGGTGTCAGCAGGGTGCCGCAGGAGCCAAAGGATGAGCATCTGGGCATGGGTCGGAGCAGGGCACGGCGCTTTGCCATGCTCCTCTGTTTATGCTTCAGCTTCTGCTTGTTCTGGGCCGGACTCAGGTGGCGCCGCAACATGCGCAGTATGGTGGCGAGACGTGGTGGCCTCGGCACCATGCAGCAGATCCCATTAGCTGCCTGACTGGTCGTGTCCTCGGATTCCTTCTTGGAGTGTGTGCTGCCCATGTTGCTGTTGGATTGTTGATCTCTCTCTCTCTCTCTGGTAGGTTCTTCTCTCTTTGTTGGCTCGCTGGCAACTGATGGCGTTTGTCCGCTACCCCAGGCATTATATATCCTGGCGCTGGTGCCTACAGGTACCCAAAGGGATGGGATACCTGTCTGTTACGGTACCTGCCTATAGGGATTGGGTATTGGGTCGGGGGTCTTGGGTCGTGGGTCGTCTTATTGCTACCTTCATAAAAACCCCGCCTGACCATAATCCCCTCTTGTTTTTGCATAGTTTTATGAGTGGCAGCAACATTTGGCGATGCGGGGATTTGTCTCCTTTCGTCCGCGACTCCTTTTTATGGCCACGATGTTGAGGTTGCACGTGCAACCAAATGTGCAAAGCCTACCCAGGCGATGTTGTCTAATGGTCCTGTCATTTGCTGTCGCCTGCTGGAATCCTCCTCTCGACATGTACAGCGTCTGGCAATTGCCAGAGGAGACGCCAGTCCAGCTGACGTACAGGGAGGCCACTTAAGCCGTGGGGCAAGCTGTTGCCTGCTGGCTGCTGGCTTTAGGGGGAAATTGTTAATGAATTGCAGTGGCAGCCATTACGTACGAAGATCAGGGACGAGCCATGAGCCCCCATACAGACACAGAGAGTGGCATACGGAAGGATGAGGGGGTAGCTGTGGTATGGTTCTGTGAGCTGGCACTTGGACAGCCAGCAGATTGCTTGCTTTGTGTGTCAATCAGGCAGCATTGGCCGTGGCTTTTCCATGTCAGCAATGCCCTCATCAATTTTGCTCTGACTCTTTCTGTGCGTGGAATGTGCCTGCGTTGCCTAAGCGGCTAATAGGAACGAACTAGCCTCAAAAGTGCATAAGCAAAAGCCTTGCCACACACTTTCCCCTGTGCCTTGTACTCGCCATTAATTAGATTTGGTATTGCCACACCTCTGGCCATCCCATCCGTGTGGCAAGAACTTTGAATGCATTCCCTAATTGAGTTTAAATGGACACAAAACTCTCGCTCTTTAAGGACACCTACAACTAGTGGCAGACCCACTGGCTGCCCACTTTCTAAACATGTGAAAAGAGTGGCAGGAAGCGGGAGACAGGAATCAGCCAGAGGGAGGAACGTGGTCGGTGTTGTGTGGTCTGTTGTCTGTGGTCAGCTGTGTCCTCCGGCGCTGTGGTGAAAATTCATTTGCAAATTCCAGCAGGAAACCAGCAGAAAAAAAAGAAAAGAAAACTTTGATGTGCCCTGGAAATGCGAGGAGTTGCTCTGCAAACCAATTCGAGGACATGCCAATTGGAACTAAAATTGATACAAAAATATAGAAACATTTTTAACGTGGCCTTAAGTTCTCTCACGGCACTTCGGTAGGGGTAAAACAACTGCCATATGCCCCAAAATGTCGCCACATAGAGAAATAGAATGGAGGCAGTCCCTAGCAGAGCCAAAAACAAGTCCAGAGACAGAACCAGCGATGGGGTCAGAGATGTGCACAGGAAGAGGGAACAGGAAATAGGGGACCTGGGACAGGGATCATTGTCAGTGGCAGTTGCTCTGCTAACTAGAAAGGGTTCCATGAAGGTCGCGGAGGGTGGATAAAGGGAACTTCTGTACATATTTGTAGCCAGGGGAGTGACAGAAACAATTTATCGGGCCCTTGGCCAAGCACACCTCTCAGCGGACACGCCCGAAGGTATGCTTGGGGAAAATACAAACGTGTGGATGTGGCTGTGGGTGTGTGCGTGGCATCCCTGAAGAGAATGTGCCTGAACGTGCATCTAAATATTGCTACTACTTATGCACCATCCATCACACCCACTCGCTTTTAATTGAGTTTTGCTCTATGGCTTATTTGATTGCTCTGCGAAATTGCAGCCAACAGTTGGGAATCATCAGATAGCCGCTACATCCATTTGTATCTGCATCCATGATTTGTGGGCGGTGGCCTGTGGCTGGCATTTAATGCTGTTCGTGGGTCTGTGTGTGGTTTTTCTCTTTAAATATTTGATGGCAATGCATTTGTCAATGTCCCAAACCCGAATTGATTGCCATTTATATTTCACTCGTCGGGGGTTTTCAATTAAATTTAGAGCCAATATGCAGAATCCCCGCTGCTCACGCAATTCGATTCTTACCTGGCCAAAAGCGAAACAACAAAAAATGGCGTGCGATTTTTACGACCAGTCCAGCATGTTGGCATACCATAAAACGCAACCAAAACAAATAAAGGGGAAAACAAGAGAAAAGAAACGACTGGCATACAAATCAGCGTTTCTTTTTTGTGTACTCTAACCCTTTGCCCTAACCCTTTCCTAACACAAAAAAGTGCATCTGCAATCCTTTTTTCCGCCAACTATTTCCCCTATGCAAATCAAATTCCCTCGCCCACTGCTGCACATTTCAAAGGACAAAGCATTGTTCGAGTCCCTGACGGGCTGTCCCTGTCTCTTTGTGTGTGTGGGTTTAAAGGTGTCAACGAATTCCCTGGAGCCAAAGAGAGAGAGAGAGAGAGAGAGAGCTGTCTAAAATAGCTTGCATCAGAGTTGAGCTGTTTTGCTGTACCATTCGCTTTCCATACCTTCCATAGCTGCCGCTCTCCCTGATTCTCCTGTGAATTGAATGCTAATTGGTGTTTTATGGGTCCTCTCACTGATGCTGAAATTCAAGGCTCCCTTGATGCTTTGTTTAGTTCTGCCAGATAACCATCTGCACTTCTACTATCTTCAGCTTTCGTTCATGTTATTTTTAAACCCATAATCCTTTATCTGTCATCTGCCTTTTAGTTAGTCATTTTGAATCGTTTAATATCCACTTTTCTCTGTAAGCTCCTCAACTGGAGCACATAATCAATCTGTGCACGAGGAGATAACAAAGTGAATGCAAAGTCAAGTGTAAGCTAAAGTTAAGAACACTTGGGCACACATAGCTAAATATGTACCACGTACATTTGTATCCACACACTTGATTGAGGGACTGACTCACTGGTGGCTTTTTGATTTAGTTTCTGTGTAATTTAGTGGCACGAATGAAAAGCCATTTAGGGCTGACCACAAATCTCAGTCGTGTGACTGTGGGATAGGGATAAGGGCAAGGACAAAACGCATATGTGTGTGTGTGTGTGTGTGGCAGGGTTAAGGACAAATCACGCATCAATAGCAATCAATCAATTTGTGGGCAAGCAAACAAATTGACCAACAAAAAAATATTGATGGGCAAAACAAAAGAAAAAAAAACCCGAAATCGAAGCCAGAGCCAGCCACCCACAAGCGCACAGTCACTGACAAAAGTTAACAGCATCTAATGTAATTTTGACACACACAAACACACCCACACTCTGAAGGAAAGCGAGATGGTTGACTGTTTTGACAGTCTTTGGTTTACAATTGGTGCGTCTTCTGTGGCCTCGTACCCTGTAATTGATATGCCAGTTAAGGTGGAGCTTAGCTTAACATTTGAGTTCATATTAGCAGTGATTTGAATTATTCGTTTGTGACAGACCAAAGAGTGAACATAGTGAGAGTGATTTTAATTTAAGTCTGAGTCACACTCAGCAGACCATACTTTAGCTAGAAGAGGCATCTAAAATCGAAAAAAGTTTAATTTAAAGTTTTGCACGTTTCACGGATTTAGTTTGAATTTATTTTTGCTCAGATTGCTGGGCATTGCCGCAGTCGCAACGCTACCGCGTGGGTGCGTATTTCGCATGCTTCTCATAATTGCGTTTGATTAAGCGTCAAGCGAAAGAGGAAAATGTTTTTTGTTTGCTGAACTTGGTTTTCAATTTCGTTGTTGGCCGTGAAAGGGTGAGGGAAAAGGGACTGGCAATGTGGAGGGGTATGGGAAACGGCTGCCAGCTTCAATCAATGGAACTATCCATCAGCAGGGCATGGAATGCTCCCGCAGCAGTGGCCGAGGCAGCGGCAGTGGCAGCGGCAGAGGCAGCGGCAGCGGCAGTAGCTTTTGGAGCTTTTCCTGTTTGCGCCACACTCCACACATGACGAAAATCAATAAGCAAAACGAAGAGGAGCGAAAAGTAAAGGAGAGAGCCAGCAGAGCGGCAGCAGAGGAGAACAGAGTGAGAGAGCGGAGGACGGTCCCATAAATTCATCAGCGTCTCTAAATGGCTTAAGTGTGGCTTAGGGCAAACGGTACAGGGCTAACGCATAGCGCGTGGAGGAGCAGCAGCAGCTGCAGCATTAAAACCGCAAGAAGCGTCCTAATCCCGTCGCTTCGTGGATTTACAAGCTTAACCACGCCTACCACACATGCTCGCTCTCTCTCTGTCTCTCTCGCTCTCCCTCTCTAGCGCTCTCTTTCTCCCTGCGAGTCTCCCGCTTTGAGTGCCCCTTTCGCTCCATGGAATCCGTTAATCTGCGGCCATGATCCCCGGCCCAATGGCTAATCTTTAGCCAGATTTCACACCGCAAAGCACGCGACTTGCCAGATACCCTTGCCATCTAATCTGAGAGAGAAATTATTGCAGAAATCTCTCTCTGCCTCTCTCATACTCTTTTTGGCCACGCAATGCCGGGCAATCCTCAATTGTGGCAGATTGTAATTAGAGCGGATCACGGCTGCACGATTTGCCATTTCGAGGGGCTTACGGCAGTAAGCGGCGCAGGATTTATGTGCTGCTCCTTGCTGCTGCTGCTGCTGCTGCTGCTGCTCCTGTTGTTCCAGTTTCCAGGATGAGCACAAAGCATGAGCACTTGAGATGTGCCCTCGCGCCTTTTGTTTTCATTTGTACTTACTCTCAAGACGGTCTTTGTTTCTGCCCTGCCCTGCCCTGCCCTGCTTTACTCTGTTCTGCACTGCTTAGCTCCCTCTCGGGACCTCTCGGGGAAAAGTGTCGTGCCGCTCTGGAGTCAGCCAAACACTTAGGGCAGGGCTGTCAAACGGCACCAAAGTCCCTTTTCGTTGCCCCTTTGCCCTTTGCCCTGGTGGAACTGCTGTTATGAGACAGGTGCCGGTGCTTGGCTGGCTGAATTATGCATTTTGCTCGAATAGTTTGTCACTTTAAAGTTTTGTCTCCCACGGGGCTGGCATGGTGGCCGGAATAAAGGCACGAAAGACGCAAAAAGAGGCAGGCAGCGATTGGAGCATGTCAACTTGCATATTTCATGGAGGTCCGGGCCAAATGCCAGCACAGGACACTGCCAAAACCATGCCCAGAGCGGGAAGGGGTTGAGATTTAATGAGCGGAAAAGCTGTCCGGAAATGAGAGAAATCCCTTTCTCCTTGGGGTTAGCAGACAGACGGAAACACCCAATGCTCACTGTTTTTTCCATATTTTCATTATTTTCCTCCTCTTGTTCATCACTTTTCCCACGCTGGTTTTCCCCTCTTTTGGTTTTGCTCTTCTCTTGGACTTTCCTGCTCTGGCTTTATTCCTGTGCGAAGAAGTATATTAGCGTTAAAGCAAGGGAAATCGAGTAGAATCAGAGAAGGTCAGGCAGAGGAATGCGAAAAACAAAACCCCAAGGCAGAGCCAGAGCCAACAAATAGCAAAAGGGCAGCACAAGAGTTCATAAATAAACACAATAAGGAATGTGTGGGGGGATATGTTTTTCAGTTTTCTGCACTTTAATGCTTTCTTTGTTTTCTCTTTTTTGTGGTTTTTATTTGCTCTATTCCTTTTCTCACACTCTCGCTGTCAGCTTTCTCTTCCTTGTGGTCTCTGCTGTCCTTCCCTCTGGGCTGGCTCGTCCTGCTGCCTCGTTCCTCATGTGCTCTATCCCATAATTCTTTGCTTTCATGGTAAGAGGGAGGCAGCAAGAGAGAGTAAGTCGTCTTCTTGCAGCTTCTTTTATGCATCAAATCCATATAGAATAGCTCCCTACATTGCTCCTCACTTTATTTATGATGCCAAAGGGTGTAGCCTCAGGGGTAGGGACTCTGACTCTGACTCTGACTCTGACTCTCCTCTTCTGCCACTTTATTTCCCTCGACGTAACGGCACAAAGATGATTTTGATATATGTGTGTGTGTGTGTGTGTGTGTGTGTGTGTGTGTGTGTGTGTGTGTGTGTGTGTGTGTGAAGAGCGAAAATTGAACACATTAAATAACAAAACTCTTGCATTGCCTCGCACCTCAAGGGTGCGGCAGCAACTGTAACTTCTCAGCCAAACATTTTGCACCTCATTGTACCCCGCCTGCCCTGCCAGCACTCATTCCCCTTGCCACACTCAACTTTTCACTTTGCACTTTTCATTTATTGTCCCCCTGCCCTCGAATGAGAGAGAACAACTTTTGCAATAATCAAGTTCGGAAAGGAACACCTGCCTTGGGCACGACAACCGCCTCACGCCTCTGCCCTCGAATGCCCTCGATTGCTTAGTGGCGGCAATTAGGACTTGGGCGGGGGGGGGTGGGCCTAACCCCTGCCCACTCGCTGCTGCACTTTGGGTGCGCCACAAGTCGGAAATTATAGTCCAAGGGTTCACGTCACATCCACGTCATGGATGGTGGATTCAGCTTGAGGATTGAACGATTGAGGGCCACTGCCACCAATTATGGCAGCTGATGCAAGTCACCCAACACCCAACACCCACCACCCAGTCCAGGGCCAGGCCACTCAATTGAATGCCAAAAGCCAGGAGGGCAGCCTCAAAGCAGCTTGTCAGCACACAAAAACGGCAAGGGACGGGCTGCCAGGAAGGCAATAATGGTCACCAAAGACACTGGACACGCGCTCATTGAACAGGCACCTAAAATCAATACTAAACGCAATTATCCTGCAAATACAAAACAAGTTGGACTGGGCTGGGGGATACAATTGAATTTTCTGATCATGTAAATGACTTAGAACGAGAAATATTAAAGCTAAACACGTATAAGGAATACATTTGCCCATAGGAAACATACAGCCTTGGATATTCCATATTAAGTATACGCCAATTTGGAGCTCATGCAACGTGGCAGAACATTAGACATCCCAGAATTTTGTGTATTTCCTGGTGCACAACCCTGGGTACGTCCTATTCGAGTCTCCTCAATTATTTACTCTATTGTTGTTTATGTAATCCATAATCGTTTTATTTGGTCCGGCCTGTGCCTGTCTCTGGCCTCGATTTATTTGTCCATTTCGACTTCGACACTGGCTTTGGTTCGTTTGCATTAATTATTGCGAGAGGCAAATAATTCTATTTTACGGCGAAGCTTATGGACAATCATTTCGGGAGTGCCTGCTTGTGGCTGCAAATCAGCCAATTAGTGGGAGAGAATTAAAGCAACAGACAAAATTGATTACCAAAAAGTAAATATGCAAAATAGGCACAGTCGCTGGGCATTTTGTGCATAATTGTTGTGGTCTGTGCAGAGCCTCTTTGGCACCCTTTCTCATTTAATTGAACATTTCTGAGCACTTCTTATTTGTTCACTGAGAGTTGCAGATTCTTGTTCAACAAAATTGCAGAACTATTTTGTGGCACTTCCAAATATTTTGTGTGCTTCGCTAAAGTAAAAGTCTCTTTGGTTGTTTAAATTGTTCTATAATTATATTTGCATTATTCAATTTGTCGCTCGTTTATGATTACAATTATTCTACACAAAAAAAAAGTGGATCGAGGCAATCCGCTTATAATTAGCATTGCTGGGCAATTGTGAGTCAGGAATTGGGTTTGGGGTTGGGTTGCCCAACTGTTTGACAGCTGTGGTTTGGCACACCTGTTGCCAGTCGTGTGTGGCGGGGGGGGGGGGGGGGGGGGGGGGGGGGGGGGCTGAGACCAAAGACGAGCTCCGTGCCAGGCGGAGCTGCTTGGTTTGCCCGCGCTACAGGTCCGTGGTGATGGTGTGCGTATGCCCCGCCAGCAGCTGTGAGGTGGTGTACAGTGGCTCCTGCTCCTCCTGTGGCTCCTCCTGCATGTGCACATCCACCTTAAAGCGCTTGGCTGCACTCTCCATTTCCTCTAGATCGCTAAAGGCCGGAAAGTTGGTGGGGCAGAAGTGGCCAGCAATGGCCTCCGGTATGTGGCTGACATTGTGCAGCATGTGGGCGGGTGTGCCCTGCAGATAGTTGCGCCACTTGTTGTAGGAATCAACGCCAGGCCCACCACGTCGCTGACTGATGGGCGACGAGGTCTTTGGCATAATTCGCTGCGCCTGCTGCATCATGTACATCTCCCACTCCAGATTGCTGGCCATTGGTGTGGCATCAATGCAGTTTGTCGACTCATTTGAATCGTTCGATGTGGCGGAACTGTTGCTCATGTCCTGGGTGCGCATCAGCTGTTGCTGCTGCTGCTGCTGCTGCTGATGCTGCTTTGTGGGCGTCGAGGCCGAGCTGCTGCATGTGTAGTAGCCGCAGGAACGTTCCAGGTCCTGCTGCTGCTGCTGCTGCTGCTGCAGCGGCTGCTCGGAAAAGTCATCGCAGATGGCTCTGCTGCGACTCCAAATGCTTCGATTGCTGCTCCGTGTGCTGCTGTTGCAGGAACTGCTGCCCATGCCGCTGCTATTACGACTGCTATACAGACGCTTGCCACTGCCACTGGCACTGCCTGCTGCCAAATTGTAGCTGCTGCCATGCAGCTCTGGCCTGGCCATCAGCTCTTCGATTTTCATGCTGCTCGAACAACAACCCATGATATTTATGACTTTCTCTCTCTCTGTGGATGATTCACGCTGTAGGTTCTCTCGCTCGAGAGGTTCGTTGTCAACTGTTTGGTGTGGCCAGCAGGCAGCTGTCTCTTATATAGCCAGCAGCTAAGCTGACCAGCAGGTAGCTTTCACTCAACTGTTGCGAATTTCCTGGAAACCGCCAAAAGGGACACGCACTCTCCCTCTCCCTCTCGCTCTCTCTTTCGCTGCGCTGATAACCTCGTACCTGATTAGCTGCTGGCCTAATCCCCGCGCGACATGGCCAAGGGGATTTCGTGTGGAATCACGACAAATGTTATATGGCCACGGCAATTTGGTCAAAACAACATTTAGATCCCAACGCTCACCGTCTCCTACCTGCCCATGTCCGGCCATGTCCTTGATTCGAGCACTTTCGATATCGGCCAACGAGTTAAGGATCTCCCGCACTCCGTTGCTCTCCCTGTACAGCCATAAATAATGGATGTACTACGCAGCTCTGCTCGGTCTCCCTCAACCCTTTCGTCGCTGCTGGGACACAAAACTTTTGCTATGGACAGGAGATGCTGCGCAGGCGCAGTTGTTCTTGTCCTTGTTCGTGTCGTGCCGCGTCCTTGGACCATTGTACTGTAACTCTGCGTGGGCCGTCGTCGCTTTCCCACTGGCCTCTGCGGCAATTGTTGTGCAAACGCCGTGGCGCAGTCCCCGGAACGCCGTTAACGCCGGCCACAAGTGCACCGACCATCGACCATCGACCATCGATCGAATCAAAGCCAGAGCCAGAGCCAGAGCGCAGCTGTCCGATCTGCATCCATTGTTCCGCTCTGCGTTCTCTTGAATTTTCCCTCAATGGGAGTTCGGTGCGCTCCTGCTGCGGCTCCTGCTGCTGCTTTCATTCTGGACTCGAGCCAAGGCCAAAACCCAAGAACCCAGAACCAAAACCGAAATCAACATTCAGCAAGGCAATGAAAGTAAATTCGCCTTCGTTTGGTGCTCAATGAATGCAGGTGAATGGATTTCAAATGATGTTTGCCCATGGGGGGGATAAAATAGAACCAACAGATGCTACGTAAAGCGAAATCAGAGCACAAAATTTAAGGCAAAAAGCAAACTTCAATTATAATAATAATTATGAGTATTGGCGCGAATGTTTGACTATTTCGTTCGAATCATCCAATTGCTTCGTTCTGCTATAGAAACACCACGAAAGTAGCACGCATTTACATGTCGTGTGCATGACGCAACTCATTGCTCAACAAAACACACACAAATCTGCTCTGACTGTCTTTGTTTAAACATTTCTTCAAGGAACAAACAGCAAATATTTCCCTGCATTTGCTTTGTGTTTATTTTATTTTGTTTTTAGTGCTAAGTGGCTGAGTGGCCTTCTCCAGTGTGTTGTATTTTATCTCTAGACAAATCAAACCGATAATCGACTGACTTGGGGGGTTTCGCGTGTGGCCAGAAGTTGCCTGGAGAGGGATGGGATGGTTTCCCGGGCTTAGTCTTGGACTAGCCACAAGTCCGGCAGACTGCTGCCATTTCTTGTTGCATTTTCACACGCAATCGTGAAAATTTCCAGCATATTTGCCTTTGGGAAAACGTGCGGGCGGAGTTTCCTTTCCGCTACGGGGCATTCCTTCACTCTCTCTCTCTCCCTCTGTGTGTGTGTGTGTGTGTGTTTGCTTATCCGTTGTTGATCCCAAGTCCTGCATCTAAATCTGCATTCGAAGAGTCAGAGTCGAAGTAGGAGTCACGTAATGCCGTCATTCCGTGACGCTGCAACTCGCCTTTTGGCTGCACGTGATGGGAATTAGAAATCCAAATGAGTTGCCACGGAAGCCGACAGTCGACAGCCTGGAGAGCCTTGAGAACCGGCAAGGGGAGCCACTCAATGTGTAACGAAAGTTTCCTGCAGCAAGGGGAATCCGTTCTTGCCACCTAAGAAATCCGTTTGCCGATTGCTTCCGCAAATTCTTTGCATTTACAAAGAGAGCGAGGAGAGACTCCTTTTCCTGCTGCAAGTGCCGCACCTTTTGGCTTCCTGGCTGGCTGCTACCCTTGGCTTTACGCACAGAAAGCTGTCAATTAAGTCACACACAAAGCGCACCCCCCAAGCAGCAAGGACATGGAGAGCAGGGAGAGTAGAAAGAGCCAGGTCACTGCAGTCCCTCCAGAGTCCAGCGATGGAGAACGTGACTGGGAGGGAACTGAGCTAAAAACCAGAGCTAAATGTAACTTTCGGCACAAGTGCAAGCCAAGCAATTGAGGGCCGGCACCAGGGACATCTGGCCAAAAAAAGAATGAAGTACGAGGAGAGGGTCCATCATGGCCAAGACAATGGCAAATGGCAGGGACATGACCAGTTCCAGGAGTCGCTGGCCGCAGACCATCTGTGGATCAAGAAGCATCAATGCAGCTTCGTTTTTTTTTGTTGTTCTTACCAAACAAAACAAACAAAAAACTAAACGAAACACACACAGGGACAGTGAGGGACAGGACGAGGTATCCTGGAGTGGTTGGAAAATATTCAAAAATTCAATTTGTGAATTTTTGTTTACGAAACGCATTTTCCGTGTATCGACAGAGAGGACCAGAGAGCCCAGGGACCAACTCCTTGCCTTGCCACGGTGCCATAAAGCCATAAAATATACCGCGTGCTAGGAGCACCTAGCGTCGTCCCAGGGACCTCGCTCAGGACTCAGGTAGCACAGCACAGTGAGTTCCCATTGCCATTCCTGCAATGATGATGATTGAGCAGAGGATGGACATGCCAGAAGACGCGCTTGTCGCGTCTCATCGCTGTCCGATTCGATTCGTTTGCTCTTGTGCTGGACGCACTTGTTGATCCGTGGCCCGGGTCAAGTAGAATCTGGACACGATGTGCCATGGTATTTCCGCATCCTGTGGGAAATTCACGCACAGACCTCAGTCTGAGGCGGCTAAACCGGGGGAAATACAACGCAAATGGCCATGGCCATGGCCATGGGCAGCAGCAGCATTCCACACGAATCAAATCCAACACATGTCGCGATTTGGCCCTTAGGCGAGACTACTTAGGACCTAATTTCGACAAATAGCAACCTGATTCTATTCAAGCAAAGCAGTGCCGCACAGCTGGATCCCAAGTGGGATTTGCCCATGAACCAGGTGTGTGGCCTTGACTTGCGATTCATGCAATTGACTCAGTTTTGTGGGTACAGTCTGCCACTAGCTATCGATAAGCTATCGATAACTGGTACCTCTAAAAAGGTTTTCTCCCTTAAAGAGTCGCAGAGTTTCAGTGGTCCAGTACTCTACCCGACTTGAAGTGTCATTCCATGTGTCTCTGCTGCTGCTGCTGCTGCTGCATGCTGTTAAGCATACCGCCTCAGCACAATCCCCACCACTTGACTGTCCACTGTGCTGCTCCTTTTACGATGGCCACTTTACGTGCTCCGGCTCCAGCTACATTTCCGCATGGCTTGGATGCCTTTTTGGGCCAGCTTTAAAGAGGATGTCCTGCTCGGCAGTGGCGTCCCTTAAAGTTGCAAACGGAAGCCACTTCAATTTCTTATCTGTTCTCAGTTGACTGCGCGCCTCGGGGTATGCAACACTTTTTTCGCACACCGTTTTTGCCATTGCTTCGGGAACACTTTGACTACACTTGAATAACATTTCAAGCCATTTAACGACTGTATCAGATTTAATATATTTAATAACTGCAGCATCGAGCTGTCGTTTTTTTGTTTTCGATTCTTTTGAGCAGCGTTCGGGGACTGCCCACACCAGCAGATTTTGGAGTCTTACGACAAACTTTCAACGTGACTCGTAATCGAAGAAAATCAATAGAATTTCCTTACTTATAATTGTGTTTGTGTTTGTGTTGTGTGTGTAGCCCTCTGTGTTTGTTTGACACGTGTGTCTGGCTGTGCGCTCTTATGAATTATTGAGCTGGCTTATGGAGTTTTCGCTCCCTCGCCCCACATTGTAATCGGCATCTGGAGGCTGTCCAGTGAAACCCGTCGATGGAGTGCTCCTTTGGAGAGTGTGCAGGGAACATCCGCCAGCTACTTTTGCCCTAATCAAGCGAACATCTAAAATAATATCTAACAAAAGTAGTCGCAAAAAGTCGCTGCTGCAACTCAAAATTGTGTGTTGGGGCTCTGGAATCAAGCTATTCTCTATCAAGCAAAATTGCCTCAAAAAAAAACAAATCAAGTAATTGCAACCATAACTAAATTTATGAATTCATTTTGTTTTTTGTGTGTTAATTACAATTTTTGAATACATTAAACGGCGAAGAGAAGTAAGCTAAACGCTCGAAGCCAAAGAGCTTGAGCAGCAGATATTTCTTCGATATGAACGTAAAGTCGCTCATTGTCATTTGGGAGAGACTGAAAATGGTTGAGCCCAGGAAGCCCAAAATGAGGAGCAGGGCAAAGCGTGCTGGTCTCTGCTTGGGCTTCTCCCCCATGTCATCCAGATAGGCGTCCGATAGGCTCTCAGATGCCACCTGGCAGCGGCGGCATGCCCGCAACATCTTCTTGTGGTACACTGTTGGCTTCTTGCCACTTCCAGGGCTATACTTGTAGTTATGCAGACGAGAGGCCAGCATGTCCAACGACGACTTGCCGACGCACAGCTTCGGGCCATTCCTGTTGTCCATAGTTTAACTGCAATCAAAGGGGAAGAGGAATGCTTACAATGTCTTGCCTTTAGTCATTTGCTTTACTTTTAGTTACTTTTCCAGTCTGATGCGTACTATTTCCAACTATTAGACATGGGAATGTGTACGTGATTGAATATATTTCGATGTGGCTAAGCAAAAGGCTGCTGGGTTTGACTTTCTCTACACATTCAAAGAGCAGTAGGGTTTTTTTTCTTCTACTGTGATTCTCAGGTATTTTCTAGAATTGCTTTCTGTTCTGCACCTCTAGCTGGCTCCCTAAAATCTCTGATAAATGTTCTTCAAGGGTTTGAACTCTTCTAGGATCTGGATAAGTGCTTGGGCGGACAGCAAGGAGAGCCCAAGTCTTTCGCTTTCTCTAGTCTATGCCTAATCTCCATCCAATTGAGTGTGACAAATTGCGCAAAATGTATGTTTTGTTAATTGCTCGAGCATTTTGGGCATTTCTTTGTCTTCATTTTTGGCCACTGATTATGGAAATTGCATTCGATGGCTGACTGGCTGACTGGCTGACTGGCTGTTGCTTCTGTGGGTTGTTTGTTTGGCTCTAATGAGCATTTAATGGCCACAGTAGATGAGCAGGACATGGCACTGACACGACAATCAGATATGGGACGGACATACGCACTCGTACCTGCAGCGATGATGATTCGTCCTTCCGGTTTGCATTTTACCCTTCCCTCTGTGTCTCTTTCTCATTTTTATTGCACTTTTACTTATTTCTCTGCCTCTGTTTTGTATTCTTTTCTCTTCATTCATAAATTACGGGGAACTTCGCCGAAGCTTCCCTGGCAGGCCCTTATCCCACAGGGAATTGCGCACAATTCGTGGCATCATGGGCCTGTTAATTAGTTCATTGCGGGCATAGATTTGCCATCTCCCGTCTCAGCACATGTAATTAAGCAAATTAGGCAAATGAGGCGGCAGTCCCACAGCACGTTGGGGGGGAGTGAAGTGTGCCCTGTGTGGGGGGGGGGGGGGGGGGGGGGGGGGGGAAAGGGCTGTCGAAAGTAGACAGCGATAAATGTTGACGCTTTGAAGGTCACTCGCCTGGCTGTCTGAATGGAAAATTCTCTTTTATGTGCCCCGCAGCCGGGCCTTATTTGCAGATAATTTGTCTGTCTCTCGTGCGTGTGTTCTGTTCTCACCTGTGCCTGCTTCTGGGTTTTGGGCTTCTTGGCGAAACTTTGAATGCATTAAATAACTACGCAAAAGTTTGTAGTATTTTCCTTGTAACCAAGCCACTCAGAGGCTCAGCCAAGTGAAGCCACTGAAACCACTGAATACTCTCGTATGGGTAGGGGCTGTTTTTGGAGCATTTGGCAGGGTGCACTGTCAGCACTTTCGACTGACAAAACTTGAAATAGTTCTCATATCAATCTGTTGCCAAGGACTGGGTGTATTTCACAGTTGATTTTGCACTTTACATGCCTGAACATCTTGCAACGAGAGAGAGAGAGAGAGAGAGATGCAGCCACCCAATGATGCATCAATTTCTGCTTTTATCACTTCCACACGCAACAATTCTGATGTTTGCTTCTTCGATTTGCAGCTGTGAGACTGGTTGCTTACGCCGAGGAGGTCACCACCTCAGGCAGCCTCTCGGAAGGTGAGTTCTCGGCAGTAACCGCATCCGAGTTCCACTTAGACGCTAATCAAACATTCATTTCATGCACAGAATGGGGCTCCGGCTGGCGTGGCACCAATTTCCTGGTAGAAGTGGAGCAGACGGCACCCTCCCTACCCTCGGGATCAGTTGTAGGCGCCAGCAGCAGCAGCAGCAGTGGCAGTGGCAGTGGCAGTGGCAACGTTGAGGACTATCTGAGCAGCCTGGAGGAGGATGGCAGCTTCACAACGGGCACCACACCGGGAGCCAACTCCAACAGCAGCACCGTGGACACGGGTAAGTCCTCCAACAGTTGCACTCCAAGCATTCAAATTTGGAGTTTTCCACACATCAATTCTGGCTGCTTCCAATGCCAAAATCCATTGGCAATTCGCAATTTCGCTGCCTGGGTAATTGAATATCCAGTCTGACTTTTGTGTTATTTACGCACTGTACGTGCGACCATAAATATGTGCAAATAAATAAACAATAAGAGAGACAGCGAATGTCTCTTCTTGTGCTAACATTTTGCTCACCTTCTGGCAGGACCCAAGATCATTGTGCGCACGGAGGAGGTGCTGATTGTGGGCCTTGTGCTGGTCCTGTGGGTGGGTGCCATTATGTTATTTTTCAATCGCTGGGGCAAGATTCGCATGCTGGAGCCCTACCAGCCAAAGTTCCAGCAGCAGCATCGCAGCTCCTGTCCGCTGGTCGATCTGGATGCAGTGACAACGCATCAGGTGAGCTTTGGAATAACTTTCTCTCTCTCATTTTACTCAATCTCGTTTCGTTTTATAGCGCACATCCGTCTCGCGTATGTCGATGGGCATGGTGCACAATCTGAATATGCCGACGTGTCACTTTGCGGCCTATAATCCCAACATTTATGCCAAGGGTATGTACACACATCTACGGTGCGGAGGGGGGAGAGTTCTGCTTCCTGCTTCCTGCTTCCCCTCTTCTGGCTGTCGCTTTTCCCACTTGTTTTCTCTCATTTTTGCATCTCCTTTTAAACCCTGCCTGAGTGCCGAATGCAATTAAAATCGAACAACGCATCCATCGAGTATCCTCCAGCCATCCACCTCTCGCACAGTGGGACTAGGGCCGTAGAAACTCGTGATAGCTGGGGAAACTCTCAGGGAGATTTATCACTAGTTAGAAATGCATTCAAGAGTGAGCATTTATCAAGAACCTTATTGGCATTGGAGCTGAAATTGCTAATACACAAAGGCCACACTCGAAGCTGCTTTTCAAACTCTGGCGCATTCTCTCTTATACTCTTCACTTGTGCGTACGAGCATCTGGTTTCTGCTGAGTACAAGAGTTCTTTCCTCAACTAGTTACTTGTTCAATCTTAAGGTAATTCCCCTGTTGCGATAACAATTGAAGCTTCAAGCAGCAGTAACCATAACCCCAAAGCGACGACGCTTGGTCCTCCACATTAGCCATTGAAAGTGAATCGAAATACTTATGCGTAATGCCGCCCGCTGTAGTGTAAACGCTTCCCTTCCCATCACCAGCAACTGTGGTACTTGATTCAATGTCTGACATCCCACATGCCACATCCTGGCACTGGTAATGGCACTGGCACTGGCTTTTTTAATGAGTTGCCAGACAATTAAGTTGCCCGCTGAGCGAAGGCAGCAAATACAATTTGAATGCCATTGCCTCTGCCCTACAACTGGGATGTTGCGCAATTAAATCCCATGGAAACGCACGGAGCACACCCGAACAGGGGGGCAAACACACATAAAACATGCGAAGGAGCATGATAAAAATGATGTCTGGGGTAAATCAGCCAGTGTGAGTGAAGGAGACCGGCATAAAGTCTATTAAGTTGGTGTAGCTTGAGCTGGATGTGGGGGGGCATTTCCTCAATCTCAGTGCAGGGCACGTGACCTGCACGTGAGTCACGCCGAAAGGGCACACCAAACCCGTAGCCTTGGGACACAAATGATGCTTAAATAAATTGGGATCAGCCCCACAGTGGAAAATCAAGTGGAATTTGCACATTTTGAAGCAGCGCCTACTCACGTGCCCCCCCTCTCTCTGTGGCTGCCGCATTAGCATTTGCGCTCGCTTGATTTTTACGATTTTTACGATTTTTACGATTGTTACCATCCCATAAGCGACTTTAGTTACGGCCTGAAATGGAGATCGTGTCTAACCATTTTGCTCTTGCCATTTCAGGTTATGCCTCGCATGTGTCGCACGTGTCACGGCCGAGGCAGAACTCGGTGTTTGTGGGCGCCAGCACCAGTCACTATCTGATGCCGCGAGCGCCACGCAAGACACGCTCGGCCATGGACTTGCACTCCATGGTGCTGGATGAGAGTGCCGAGCAGGTGTAGGTGCCAACCAAGATGCAGCAGGAGCAGCCATCAGCCAAGGACTAAGTCGCATATTTGTTGTATAAGTCAGTGTGTAAGTGGGTTGGGAAAAAGGTGTGAGGGAAAACGCAGCCCAACTATTTGCACTCAAAGCCTATGCCCCTGTCTGTCTCTCTGTCTGTCTTTAATTTGTCTTGTCCCTTCAGCGATCGTGTCAATTTCGGTTAAAGCTGTCTTCTAGGCCAACCCATTACTGAAGCAGACTAGCAGCAGTGCTAACTATGGTGGAGCATTCGTATTATTAGCTTTATTATCCAGTGTTAATCTCAAACGTATGTAGTCTATGCCTAACCCACACGTTTCTCTTCTACTTCTACAACTTAGCGTGTTGATGCCACAATTATTGGATACCAGAATAGACATATTTAGTGAAATACAAATGCAAATATTCAATATGCGGACACAAGTGCAAAACTGTGTCATTAATTGTTTAGTTTGTAAGCCTAAAAAGCTCAAAGGGGATCAGAATAGAAAACTCTCTGGAAAATCGAACCACTACAGAACACAACAGAACGTACTTTCTTGTGATTTTGTTTGTTTTATTTTTCTTGGCTGCAGCAAAACTCTATCAAAACTATCAGTACTAGCTAACTGTCTAAACTACTCGTAAGTTGTAAGTATTTTGAAGACCAAGCAAGAGCAGGTTGAAACTGCAGAGAGAAGGAAACTAACGAAAGCTTTAAATTCCTTTTGGGGCCTGTACCAAAACAAAAAGAACAAAAAGAACAACCAGAACCCATCCAGAACAAAACCGAAAATTGTATTCTAAGCTTAAGGTAAATAACTCTCAACCAAATGTCTAGTGCAAAATATGTGGAACAATGTAAACTATAAACCGAAACCCAAACTAGAACTCAAACTACAGATCTACAACCACATCATACTCGTATATTGAAGGGCATTCCCGCACCACAAAGGTGTTTGCCCAAACCAAAAATGTTCTAACTTGTTTTACAATATTTACAAGAGCCTCGGCAAAGCAAAGCAAATATACAACACTTGTGTACCATACATATGTACCCAATAAATGCTAATTCTATATACACATACAATATATAATTATAAACGTATACAAATATGGAGCGGCAAAGAGTCCCCAAAAGAGGAAAAACCAAAAAACATACAATTATATACAATACATTTGGAAAAATTCAATTAAAACAATTATATTTGAAGCGGCGAGTGGTTTTGTTTTCGCTACTCTTTATTCGCTAATCGTTATTCGCTATTCGCTATTCGTTGTAACCCATTCTTCACTTCTGGACACTTCAATGGCATAATTACAAAATAGACACAAACTTTGAAATCATTTTTCTACTTTCTCCAAGCTCTGACAGCCCCATTGAGATCTAGTGGAAGTTCTGCTTTCTTTTTGCTGGTTAACGCACCAGCTGGGACGCGCCTTCTGGCATTCAATTCTTTCAATTGCTGTGTTTGTGTGTGTAAATTTGCAGTAAAATATATAAAGCCATTTGGCGTCGACTCTTCATAAATCCAATTGGAGCAGCTACAGCCACAGCCACAGCCACAGCACGCGACATGCTGGCCTGCACATAAATGAGCTACAACGTGCAGGGGGATCCATAAACATTTTCGACAAAATGGCGAGAAAACGACGCGTAAAGTGCTGACGATGAGTGCGAGGTCAATAAATGGAAGCCATTCAATGTTATGCCCGGCCATCGGCCTGGGTTCAAGTGCAGCGAATTTATGGCATTGCAACATGGAGTGGCCCCAGCTCTAGGTCTGGCTCTGACTCTGTCGCTGGTTCTTGGCAGGGCCACTGCCTGACCTTGACGATGTTGTCGTTGCCATTGCCCATGGGGGGGCTACAAATCAAACGAATGGCGCCCATGCTCCATGCTCCATGCTGCTGACACTTGCAACTTGGGCTGTGTGGCAGCGGCAGCCAAGTGTTTGCCTGACAAGCTGGAGGCGAACCAAAGACGCACAACCCACAACCCAGAAATGACTTCCTTTAGCCACATAGACGAGCATGTATCCATATCTCTGGGCAACACTGTTCCAGAATCATTCATTGAATGTTATTAAGAGTTATTTATGTTATTTTTGGCTAACAAAGTTTCATCGTTCTTGCCTGTTTTTGCTTCCATTTGCCCATAAATGCTGGAACATTCTGCCAAAGCTTTGTCATCAGATTGTGAGCTCCCCGCAACGAAATGCTGAACGATGACCCAAGTAATAAGCATAACTATGTAAATTCATTTCAGGCACAGGCACAGGATCTAGCATCCAGCATCCAGCATCCAGCCATGCCATGCAAATCTCTGCCACAAATTGTGAGGGGGCACATACTTATCGCATCGCATCCCTCCCTTGGTTCATGGAGAGTGTCAAAGATTGATTGACATGGCAGCCTGGACTGGACTGCCGTTGTGGAATCTCCATTCAAATGGGAGACACCCATCCTCCTCCACTTGAGTGTCTAATCAAAACTGCTTAGTATTAGGTTTTTTTTCTGGCTGGCAGAAAGAGTCCTCTTTTTGGGGGTGGCAGAATGTGGCCGAAGATTTATGAACGCATGGGTCAGGGGCAGAACTTAATTGGCTTTTGACATTTTGTGCTGCGGTGCAAAAGCTTCACACTTGCACAACGCCCATCAAGTCAATCATAAGAAAAATAATCTCGAGTTGCTCTCAGTTGTTTCAATTTACTTTTTAACACTCTCCTCCGCACTGTCTCTCTCTCTCTCTGGCTGTGTCTGTGTTGGCGTTATCTTTGATTTGTCCACCGAGAGACATTCAAATGAAATTTGTTCTTACTTTCAACGCACAATCCCACCCCACATACACCACACGTTCGAGTGTGTACCAACTGCACAAAGAACAAACGCCGGAAGCCTTCAGTCTTTCAGTTTTTACTTCATCGTGCGCTCCTGCTCCGTTTGCTCCTCCTTCTACACCGCCTCCCCCGTCTTCTCCTGCTCTGGTCTGGAAATGCTTGATTTGAGGTCTGAAGCTTTGAAAGCCCCTTGTAGGTCCATCGTCTGATAGCATCTTCGGCATTGATTGGAGGCATCACATCAGCTGTGAGGAACACCTGTGAAAATCAAATACTTTTTCCCAATTAAGGGTATCAAAGATTCACCTCTCTCTTGCACTCACTTTTTCCTCTCTCTCTCTCTTTTTCTCTTTCTCGTACGCTGCCAGTGCACCACTTAAACCCCCTCTCATGCCGTCGCTCCTCGCTTTCCCTGCACTGGCTCCCCCATGAGCGATCACTTCAATTGCTGCAGCTTTATTTGTACCGTTATATTTCCCGTTGCCGGACATAATCATGCTGAAGCTTCTGCTCCGCAATTTGTGCATGGCCAACAAGTAATTTTCTTTGTGTTTGTCTGAATGAAATATATATTTTTGAGATTTATGTACGTGCAGCAGCAAACCCAAATAGAAGTAGTATGTACGTCCAGAGCTGATGGATGGGTCTCCATTCCGGTGGCTCAGCTTTCCAGTCAGACTGCCAGAGTGATGGAGGAGCAGCATGGAATGGGTAGGCAAAACGGACATATGCACGATGTGTGCATATATTTCAAGTGCAAAGAAACATGATATTTGATTACCCAAAAACAGGAAAGCTTCTATCCAGCTAACACACACACACAACATGGGGATGTGTCCGGTCATGCGGAGCGGGCATGAGCGGGGAACTAGCCAGCGTGGAAGCTAAATACTCTTTTGCCGTTAACCAGAGGACGGCAGCGTCGTGTACACTGTGCATGGGCAACAACAACAGCGTAAAAGCTTCGTGTGGCTTCGCAGTGGCAGAGAAACAACTTCGTACTGCCCATGCACTATTGCTCGGCTGCGCGCAGCGGCAGAGAAGCAAGAAACGTTTCTGACTTCGTGTTTTTGTTGTTTGTGCATACAAATGCACTAAAACATGTGACGCCGTACACCCAGCAAGCATTTTCCACAGTCTTTAGACGGTTGCTGAGTGCTAATTATGCTTTGACTAACCAGCAGCATTCCGTCTTCCCTCCTGCCACAGACAATGTGTGTGTTTTCTCACCATCCCCAGCTTCAATGCTTATCTGTTCTCACCATCTCCCCCTACACTGCTCGTACTGCCCCACCTAATCTCATCCGTCGTGCGGTGACAAATGCAATAAAGAACCCAAAAGGAGAGCAGCTTTTGTTGATGAGGTTGGAGAGAGAAAGAGACAGGAGAATGGGGAGAGCGTTTACTGCTTGCCTGTTTGATTAATGACAGCGATTGCTGCCAAGCGCTGGTTGATGGCTCATAGTGGAGATGTGACAGTGTCCCTGGGCCACTGGCAGGGTCATGCGTTGCGGAGTGGCTAAACTAAGTTGTCTGGCAGCCAACTCATTGCGCAGCCTGCCAGAGTTTTATGTGACCCACTTTGGAGAGTCATCACAAAACTGTAACTGTAACTGTAACTGTAACTGTAACTGTAACCAAAAACGCAAGAATCAATCAAAGGCAGAACAGTGCAGGACTCTGGGGCAGGGACGGGTATTGGCAATGGCATTGAAGGGCGTGCCATGACTGCATCACCAGCAGCCGCGACTGTCATCAATGTTTACGAGAGCCCATAATGACGAAACATTGCCGAGCAAAGAGATGGCAATGGCATAATCAAAGGACACTACGCAACCTCATCAAGTTCTTCTCCATTCTTCTCTGCTCGCTTTTGTGGGCGGGCAGTGTGCGTTGGGGTGAACAATGTATGAAAATAAAACGAGCGATAATGAGTGCGTGGCCGAGGCGCTGACCCAAGCAGAGGGATAGAGATAGAGAGAGAGGGAGAGACCCATCCATTCATCCATCCCGAAAATGGTCTTGGATGGTCGGTGCCTCGGGGCTGGAGGTTGGAGGCTGCAGCTGGGGCCATGTGCTGACAGCAAATTGTACAGAAACTCAAAAAGGCAACAAGCCGTTGAAGCCATAAAACGGACAGGCACCCAGAAAGCAAACGGAATAAAATATATTCCTCCAACCCTCAAGGACAGTCGGACAGTCCCCTCCCCCCTACACATAGTACTCATAAAGATTGGCCAAAAAGGTTTTTGGTCTTTGTTGTAACTGCCAGCCAGCCGCCTCCCAAATGTGGGGGTCACGACCAGATGTGGCCAAAAAAGCAATAAGGCTCGTTAAAATGTGCTGGGAAGGCACTTGTCAGCTTGGTTATGGCCATCCAACGGCAATCGGCGATCTAATCAAATTGGTGATAACGGAAAATCTTTTTTTTTAATAGTTCGAGCTTGTTTATGAAGTCCGCGCATTTATTTTTAATTTGAAAATGAAGCTTGCCACACCACAAGTACACATTTGCTACATGGCAACTACATTTCGATGTATGCAGTTATCAGTGGAGACATCTGGTGGTCAGGAAATAAGCACAGCAGTCGAGCTGGCGCGATAAGCGCCATATAGTTTCGATCAAGTTCACAGAAATGAATGTGTAAGATGTAATCCATTTTAGCCATCCATTTATGCTATGGCCTGCAATGCTTTGCAGCTCCGAAAATATCCCAGCTATTCTATGCGAACATTTTCAAAGTAACTGTGTGGCCACTTATTATGTTTCAACCACTTACAATTTTCGAATTTTCGCGCGTCTTACTCGAAGCTGCAGAGTTGCCAGACTGGTGGAATCGACGCGTATTTACAGATACTGGCTACGTCATGGCGTGTCAGCGACACCTGGCGGCAATCTCCAGTCCACTTTTGCTGGTGCATACTTCGAGGATAGCCGATCGAGCACCGATCGTCAGTGTGACCGCACTGGTGGGGCAAACAAAAACGACAGATATTAGTGTGCTGTGCCGCGCCGTGTTGTGTGGCGGCGGTTTATGTTGTGCTTCAGATCAGGTTATTTCCATTTCGGATTCAAAAATGTACGGACGTCGGCCTGCCGTCGGCATCTAGCGGTTCTTGCTCCGTTGCTTTGACTTTGTGTTCGCTGTGGCAACATTATTTTTGTCGTCATATCTCACGTCTTGAGGGTGCGAGTGTGCGCGCGCGCGCTTGTTTGTGTTTGTGTGTGTTTCGTGTTTCGTGTTTCGCGTTTCGTCTTGTGGTTTTTGTTTGCGTTTGTGCACTTGGAATCACCTGTTGATATTTTGATATTTTGATGTTTGTGTTCGCAGAACGACAAACTACAATAACTGTGAGCTGCCAGCCACTACGAACATCGTGGATCGGCCATTGACAAACAACAATTAACAAGCCATTGGCAACGGGCATCGGGCATCGGGCATCAGCCTTCGGGCATTGCATCGTTTTATCAGCGTTTATTTGGAGCTGTGCGGCAAACCTGAATCAATCCCTCCCTTGCCCCCTCGCCCAGCAGCAGTTGAAAGTTTGTTTGTGCTGTTGTTTTTTTGTTCGAGTGAAAGCGTGTGAAAAGTAGCCCCTTAACATTGGCTGTTGGCCAACAGTCAAGTCCCAGCCGAGGCCGAAGCCCCCAAATGTCTCGCCCTTTCGTTGGGTGAGTCTGCACCAACACCCTGGAGTAGCCATATCCATTTCCATTTGCATATCCATATCCATATCCTGTGTTGCGGCCAGCCAAAACTTCCGGTCAACTGGCGTGAACAAAATGAAACCGCAACTGTTGCATCTATCCAGCCAAGCTCCAACATCTTCGAAATCGAACTCAGCATCATCAGCCACATACCGAGTTCAGGTGTAAGAAGGTAAGTGAATATCGGATGGCGAATGGGGGCAGAGATCAATTAGTGGTAAGGGCTTTGCCATGATATCGCTTGCCTGGGACATTCAGATAAGATCAATCAATCAGTCAATCAATAGACAGACGGGTAAGAGAAAAACATAAAAAACTCAAAGCCAGAATGGACATGGAGAACGTTCAGATGAGCCTCATGTAAATTCTGATCACTTCTAAGTTGAGTGAAAACCTTCAGCTGCATTAAGAGTCACCTACAGAGACAGATTCATGGCTTCCGAAGGTCTTGCCATGCTTTACTTTTTGTTTTGGACACCTCTAATTTGGCCAGTTCTTGGCTTGGACTTTTTTGGACACACTGTTTGGTGGCAATGCAATGTTTGCGGAGTGGCTTCTCTGGCAATGTATGTTTTTTCGGTCTTTTTGGGGTTTCGGGGTCAGTCACTTTTTGATGCGATACGATCGTACAGCAAGAGTTATGCATGCAACATTTTGTACGTGATATATTTGGCACAGGGAAAGAAGCTGATTGAGGGCTCTTTGGTCTCTTTCGGCTATTAGACCTCTGAGGGAGATCCCTCTCTCTCTCTCTCACTTACATGTGTATGTGTATGTGGTTGCTGTGGATCCGTGTGCCCCAAATGAACGGCAAAATTGCTCCCTGCTTTGCGTTTCACCTGCCAGTGCCAGTGCCAGTGCCAGAGCTGATGGCAGCGCCTTTTGGTGCGTAGATGTCTGCACAGGTAATCGATGCGTTCGATAAAAGTGTCCCGTTAAGTGTTGTCGCCGCCAAAAGATTGTTAATTGCCATTGGCGGTGAGCAAAACTTGAAGTCGAGAGTTGGGGTTGAAAGAGGCCTGGGAAAGGGAGGGCGGAGCAGTTGAAGATGCTGCCCCTACATAATTAATAGCCATTAAGCAATTTTGTGTCGTCTGGCAACAAAATGGGTGAAAATATAAAAAGAAATTTGCACATACTCGCATGTAGAGCAACCGAGTAAGACACAGATACAGATACACATACAGATACAGATACAAACAAATGTCAATTTAGCAATTTTTCAAAGCGAATTGCGTGAGACTCGCTCGAGTTTTGAGTTGGAGTAGAAGTAGTAGACGATTGACCCAATGCTCTCAGAACATCAAAGTGCCACAACAAGAGAAATGGGGCGGAAGGCGAACAAAGGGTTGAATAAATTGTTGATTCAAATAATTGCAAGAAGAAATGGCAAAGAACAAAAAGTTTGTTCAGCACTCGGGCATGGTTCCTAGATTAGACTCACATTTGATTGCTGAACAGCTTTCTCTTCAATGTATTTTTATACTGCCTCAAGTTGAAGGCAAAGCAAACACATAAACATGCGCGAGTATCTTCAAAAGTTCTTCGGATAGATGAACCTGCCTGAACCGTACACCTTCCCCCGTATTCAGCCCACTTAAGTGAGTTGAAGCAGGAACTTTTGATTCCTAACCAATTGGAATTGCATTCGAAAGTCTTCAGTTGCCGCCTTATAAATGGTCTATAAAATATAAACATCGAGTGCATCGAGACGTGCTTCTCGTTGCCCCTAAATCAAATTCCAAATTGCAGCAAAGGCGGGCACGGCCAGAGGGTGAGCCCTGGGCAGGGGCACGTGCCTGGACAGCTAAAAATGATTCCGCAGCGAGCCATGGGTTGTGCTGGTGCTGCTGGTGGCCCTGTTGGCCATTCGTAAACAATAAACAGATCTTTGTACTATGTTGCAGCAACATGTGCAGGCATGCACTCACTCTTAGGCCCTGCCCTATTTTCTGTGGAGAAAGATCGTTCTATATTTTATATTTGTACTGCCTTGGGGCACATTTTATTCGAAATTCTTTACTGCCATTCCATACATTTCTCGCTAAAGACGCTTCAGCCACTTATTAGACTTTCCAAAGTGGAAGTTCTCTTTGCAGACTCTCCATTGAATGCCAGAGAACTTTACTTTACTCCGCATGAAGAACGCGAAACGACAACATTTTAATGAATTATCATAGTGTTGAAGATGATTATCTTGGGTGCTGTCATTGAACCTGCTGTGTCCCAGGCATTGTCTTGGCTTCGTTTGCTCGCTCTTGCCATTCACATCGCACATTCACTATAGACACTGCCACTGCCATAACCATATCTATCTCTGTGTCTGCGTCTGCGTCTGACTTTATCTCCATCTATCTGCGGATGGTGGTTCCATCAACCATTTGTCATCTGGCCGATCTGGCCATGTAACCGACTCCCACCCGAGTCTCCCTTTGAACCGATCAAAGAGCTGTTGTTGTGGGCGGCGAAACGGAGGAATGGAATCTCGAATGGCTGTGGAGTGGAAGTAAGCGAACCCAACTCAAGATGATTCTCCCAAGCCCCGTAATTCTTTCCGTTGCCCCGTCTCCATTTTCGGGGGGCCTGTAATTATGTTCGATTTTTGTTGACGTTGCGTGCTGGAGCTCCTCTCGTGTTCTTCTCTTTTTGGGGCTTGGGGGGGTTTAAGTTTCAACAACATCTCAACTAACACACCAAAATGGGCAACCAGTGGCCATGACAGGAGCCGGACCGGGCCAGGCAGGCAGCTCTCCTTTTGGCCAGAATATTTTCGTGGTTCCTTTTTTAATCGATTTTAAATTGGAGATTGATTGATGGAGATTCTGTGTGTGTGTGTGTGTGTGTGTGTGTGTGTGTGTGTGTGTGTGTGCCAGCAAACCTGTCCAAAATGTAATGCCAACCAGCGGACACTTGACAACCTCTTGTTCCCCCTCTGTCCGATCACTTGAGCTGCATTTTCCTCAACATTTTGTACAATTTGTGTGTGTGTGTGTGTGTGTGTGTGTGTGTGTATGGCTCAAGTGGCCTCGGTTTTTGGTTTCCCACATGTCAGCTTGCATCCCACAAATCGTAAACTAATTGAGCATTTTCCGTTAGTGCTGTCGAAAATTTGATACGCCTTGAGCCCCCGCCGCTCGTCGCTCGTCGCTTGCCGCTTGCCGCTCTCATGTGGCAGCCAATCATTATCATTATTAGCACTGTTATTATCATCATTATCATTGAGTTTTCCCCTCGAAGATTTTTCCACATTTTTTGCTCTTTTCGTTTCTGATTGATTGAATCTCTGCGATCTTCGAACGCGTTGATTTGCATCATCGCCTCGGATCCGTGGCAGGGAGAGGAACGGGGCAGGAGCATACAATTTCGTGCTCAAGTCTAGAGTCTAGGGTATAGACCTCAGACCATGTGGTGTCTAAGTTGTCAGTTGGTTTGATTTTTTCTATCTTAAGGAGTTTTCTATGCCAAATTTAGATTTGCAGCCGCACAGATACTGCAAAAGCTGAGCTGTTCCATCAGTTAGCATTCGATTTATTCCAACTCAAAATCAGGTTAGTTGGGAGCAATTAGAAGATACATTTTGATCTGAAAGTAACCTGAAGCTAAGCAAGTGTCTTAAAAGGTCTCTTGGAACTACATACTATGTAGATACATCCAGCAAATGTCTGCAGCGCTTTCACCCCAGGCCCAGCCTTGGGAAACACCGTTAAATTCGGTCTCTTCGGTCTCTTCGGCCTCTTCGGTCAGTGCCGAAACCTGTCCAGATCGATAGATGTACGGAGGTACGTTTTCCCCCCGATTTCGAAGCTCCACCCGAAAAATGCAACACGCAGCACGCAACCTGTGCAGCATCAGACCATGATTAGGGGAATTTGTTCGTTCGTAGGTAACCGGGCCTAGAGAAACTCCAAACTCCAAACTCCAAATGGCGGCCACTAGTCGCAGTAGATAGATTTCCTACTCCAGCAAGAGAATATGCGGCATGACATGACTTGCCGACAAACAATTAATGTGTTTGTGTGTGCCTGGAAAAAGAAACCCATTAAAAAATGTTAATTTCCATAAAATAAAACCGTCTGCGAAGACAGAGCAGGCCATATAGAGAGAGAGAGAGAGAGAGATAGTTGGGGGAGCAGACCAGGCCAGCACGTGGCTAAAAGCCACAAAATATAAGACAAAAACCCCAAAACAAAAACAAAATCAAAAAAATCACCGAAAACAAGGCAAGGCGTTTGTTTGTGCATTTTAAAGTAGTTTTTTTTTTTCTCTTCATTTTTATCTTTTTTATTTGTGTGCGGAATGTATCGCTTTAGAATTTTGTGGTTATTTTTGTGTCTTATTTCTACGACTGGAAATGGAGTTGCGTTTGTCAAAAAGGAACAAAGTTATGCGTAAAATTTACATAACACGGACTCGGCCCACCTCCGAGCGAACCCCCATCAATCTGCTGCTGGGCGTATCTGTATCTTTGGGTGGATCTTGTTAAACGTGCATCTAACGTGGATTTATAGTCGGTGCCATAATTAGCTGGTCGAGGGTGTTGCTAATGGCGGCCAAACTACTCGGCTCGATTCGCTAATGAAGCCTACATCTGATGGGGCTCCACCAAAAATCAATTTGCATACCTCAAAGATGGAAATGATGGACATGTCGAAGATGTACATGGAATGGCATGGCAGAGCTGGACCGATGACCGCTGTCAGTTATGAGTGCTGTGGTCAGGGCATCCATCGCTGGTTGGGCCACACACAATGCTGAGTTTCCATTCGATTGGGCAGCGGTTCCAGGCGGTTGGCGGTTGGCGGTTGGCGGTTCCTCTTACATGCGCTAGAGTGGACGCAGCATCATCATCGCGCAGCTGCGCCTGGGATTGCCTTTCCTCGGACGGGTGGACGGGTGGCGGTGGGGCTCGTGTTTTGTCGGCACAAGAGTCAAAGTCAAATGTTGGAGAGATGCCCGCACCACGCTGGTGACGCAGTTCAAATCGCGAAACTATAAATTATGCTGTCAGTCACAATCAGCCATTGTCTCTCGGCAGTTCTCGATTTCGCGGTCTCCATGGGAGAGCCTCTCTTTCACTCTCCCCTCTCCCATCCCACTCTTTAAAATTTTCCGCACAAAGACGCCCATTTTCTTGATTGCCGCCGCTGTGGCTTTGTGGCTTCTTGCAGCGTATTCCTGGGGTGGATCAGTCATTGGACAGAGAATGTTTTAATGGAGAGAAACAACTGTTTTGGTCTGCACAAGGTTAATGGTTCGTATTCTAACCACAGTATTCCCTAGTCCATCAGTTGCTGGCTGAAGCTCACATTCTTTCCTTCTTTTGCAATTAAACTGCGCAGCTGCTGTCGCTGTGCCAAGTGTTCATCGCCTTTGCGCATGCGCGTCCAATCAATCGCGGTTGCTGCTTGCCCCCCACCCCGCTCTCCACTCACCGATTTGATGCGCGACGATTGGGAATGCCAAGTAGAGGTCCCCGCGCTCACCTTTAAGTGCAGCAGCAGGAATGCGCCGAAGCCGACGCCGACGCCGCCGCCGCCGTGACATGTTCGTTGGCGAGCATCAAACTCGTGCCAGAATTTGACTGCACTGCAGCGTAGGGTGCTGGTAGCCAAGTGACAGAGGCAGAGAGCGCGGTTCGTCAGCACAGGTTCGGACTGTGCTCAAGTTCGGACAGCGCTGTCGCCCACAACGGTGCGAAGGTGGCGCGTGGGCCGAAGCGTTTCCATACATAAATGCTTCGTTATCTATGGAGCGAGCCATGTGGGTGGAAGTTCGGGCTCGAGCTCGGCTTCAGCTTCGCCCTAACGAAATGCACGCCGTTAAATTGTCAAATTAAATACAACAACAACAACAGAAGAGGAACAACCGCTTGCCCTCTCGCTTCATCTTGATCTCGTTCCCACCACACACACACACGCACCCCTCCCACCTTCATCAACATCAATTCAATTCATGTTGGATGCAGAACAACTCCAGCAGCTGGTCAATTGGAAGCTTCAAGCACCGACATGTTCAAACGATTCATTCACAGCAGCAGCAGCAGCGCAGCAGCAGCATAGTCTATAAAGCAGAGGGATGGAACTGCTTTGGTAGCCGAATATTTAATTACCTTTTCCGACTAAATGATTTAGCAATAATACGAATCCCATCTAGAGCAACCTTTTGAGCAACAAATACATTTGGCTTACATATGTATGTACATTGTACCCTTTTGGAGAGTATAACAAAGCCAGAGTAGAAACTGCATTGATTTCTCAGGGTCGGAGACAAGCAGGCAACTCGTTTGCCTGCTGCTGCTGCTGCTGCTTTTGTTGGAGCAACTGAAACTGCAACTGCAACTGCAACTGCGAGTTGTGATGCTGCTGCTGCTGCTGCTGCTGTCGTGCCAGAAATGATGCCAACAGGTGCTCAACATTCTTGGCATAGTTTCTAGAGCAATTGAGGCTCACTCGATCATTGAAAGGGGGAGGCAGACATTGGCATGGGGATGGCGCAGAGACTAGCAGTGTGGCCCCACAAGATACTCGCACAAAACTAAAGCAGGTGGCTGGGTACTTGATTGAGCTATTGTAATTGTCAGTCATGCAGAGTCATGGCTGTGGCCTGGCCTGGCCTGGCCTGAGACAGGGAACTGGGAAAGGAGGCTGCTCTTGGACCTGCAACAATCTGTGGCAGTGAAGAAAGTCTGCTTGTACCACTCCCCTAGATCCAAATTGCTCTAATACTGCACGAAATTCGTTTTCTTTGCATGACCAATCGCTGGAATAGCAGATTTTCCTCACCATTTTGATATTTTTTCGATTGGTCACCGATTAATCGATAAACATGCATGTGGGCTGCTCATAAATGGGTCATTTATGGGTAGAAGTTAAAGCAACGGATGGGGGAACTGATATTTGATCGAATATTTGCTATAATTTGAAGGATCCTGCATTGGCTTTGGCTGTGGCAAGAATTAAAACCATTACTAAAGCCTTGCATGAAAAGAGACTCGTTCTAGTGAAACCTCGAGCGAAGCCCCTGCACCCTGAAATACAATCAAAAACCCAACTAATTTTATTTCATTTTCTTTGTGGCAAGCACACAACTTGGGCACCCAAAGCACTATCTGCTTTGGGGGCACCGTTTGCATTATGTCACGTTTTTCCGCCGAGGTCAATCCACTCCGCAATACACTCAACTCTTAGCTCTGTGCCCGGACTAATGGGAAGAATCAGTTGCTGGCGCCAGCATGGACCGACAAACAGACCAGATCGTGGCCAGCACACGGACGGGCAACAACTTAATGAGTGACCAGAGCTCATTAGCTCAAAGTCTGCGTAATTGTCGCAAAAATTCGAGTGCGTGTCCAGACAGAACTTCATAACTGGGCATTGGGGCTGTCCCAATCCACTGTGTGTGGCCCAGCGTTCCAGAGAAAGTTCTTGCAAAGCTCTATGCAAAATGTAATTCCTAAAAAAGAGAATTGCCTCTCACAGCAGGAGAACCAGCTGATGGATTGAGACATTTCGTTTTTAATTAGAGCTACATAAACATGTCGGCCAGCCTGCAGGAATTTCTACTTTAATCAACCAACTTCGATGGCCTGACTTTGTAGGAAATCCAATCTTAAACAAAACTTGACAATTAGTCAGTTGAATTGAAGCTGTTCCTTTTGCTGCAGTCTCTCGTGTCGGATCTGGTCCGGTTTTTAGTTGCAATTCAAAAAGAATTTCTAAATGAGGAACTCAAAAAAAGAGAACAAGTAAAACACGGAGCCAGATGAGTGCAAAATTACAAAGTTTATCAACATTTATGATGCTGCATCGTGCCCATTGGCATGCGTACAGAAATTGAATTGACAGCCAGATGCTGGCGAATGTTGATTGGATCATATCATGCCACAAATTGTGGCATTTCACGCAACAGCAATTGAAAAATGCCTCACCTATCCCATAACCCATCCCCTCAGCTCACTCACACCACAGACGAAGCTTCTCCATCAGCTCTGGGTCCGGGGCCAGCTCGATTAATATGCAAAGCAGTTTTTCTTTTGTTGCAGTTGGAGTTGCAGTTGCAGGTGCTCGGGCCGATTATGTTAATTAACCTGCGCGGGCAGCGAGCTGCGGCAACAGCATTGCCCTATGGTAGCATTTATCAATTAGCAACGTTTTGGGCATTCAACAATTAGCATAAAACTCAACTTGACCATAGAGACCCCGATTCGTTCGGTTATTCCCTCCCTGCCTTCTGTGGATAATTGGAAGAAATTCAAATGTAATTCTGGGAATCGAGGGCAATCGAATCTGGAAAATATATTCCAAAAACTAAGCATATCAAAAGAGATTTGTGTTTGGAATTGGAAATGGAAATGGATTCGTTGATCTAATAAATGTGTAAAATATGTTTTTGTATTCCCTGAAAATAAACAGCTGAAAAGTTTATACTTAACGAGTGGAATATTTAACGGATGGACTTTAGTCATTGTTTTCACTGTACGTGCCGAGAATGCCAACTCAATGCTGGGAATAGTTTGCATTCGTAATATTCAATGTGAATATTGCATAAATATTTATTAGAAAAAAACAGCCAAATGTTCAAAGAATATTTTCGAAATTGTTTTCAGTTTTGCTTATTCAAATTGTGTGTTCCTTTAATTAATATATTTTCCATTAAAATAATTATTAAATAGTAATAAATTGTTGTACATTTTTACCACATTCCATTGCTGCTTTTATGCATGGCTGAATGTACAGTACATAAATATTGAAAATGAATGAATAAGCTGCCTAAAAATAACCCTCCCGCCCACGCTTGTCATATAAAAAGTGACTTCGTGTGGAGGATGGTTCCATGGTGTAATGGTTAGCACTCAGGACTCTGAATCCTGCGATCCGAGTTCAAATCTCGGTGGAACCTTGCAACAACTGAACTTTTTCATGCTCTTTTTCTAAGCGATAATGTACGGACATATTGCTGAGAAAGTTTTTCTGTGCGCTCGCTCGCATTGCAAAGCAGAAATTGTGGCCAAGCAACAAGCAACAATAAGAGAATAAAAAATAAACAAAGTAAAAACATGATTCGTGCAATTTGATGAATGAATTGCGAATGACCGACCGGCTGGCTGGCTGGCTGGCTGGCTTGGCTGGCCTGCAATTAGCGGTTGCATAATTCCAGTTGGCCATTTCCGCTCCCCACACCGTTCGTTCGTCCGTCGTCCGTTTGTCTTTGGCATCCAAGTGACACACATTTTGTACTGTACTCTACGCACGCGGAATTTGTCATACATTTCGAGGCGACTTTCCCCTGTAAATAATCTCAAGACAAGTCCATAAATAAATCAAATTTTTAACTAACATTTTGCACCATTCGTTTTGCTCTTTCAGTTTGATTCCGAATGTCTGCCACCGGTCGCCACAGAATGGCCAGCACCACGACCACGCCCCTCAATGCTGCAAGCAGTGGCAGTGGCGCCCTCTATCGCCTGGCCTCAGCTGCCACGCCCACGCAGACGCCCACGCCCCACCAAATGGGCACACATCAGCTGTACGGCCAGTCGGCGCCAAAGCTCTACGCCGCCGGCTCCGTGGCCAATGGAGCGGAACGCAGTCGCCTGCTGGAGCTGCTGCGAGCCCCGAACAGCCTCACATCGCCCAGCCTGGAGCCATCCTCGAAGGGTCTACTGAATGGACCCGGCCAGAACAACTGTTTCCTCAACTGTGCAGTGCAGGTAGGTGCCACCTCCTTGACCCTGGCCCATTGAAGGCCACGCATCAATATTCGACACGAAAATTGTGTTAATTGTTGGCTCATCCTTTTGTTCGTTGAGTTGAGCAAAGTCCCACAATGGAACCACCCGCACCCACACCCACACCCACATCCAAAGTCTTGCCTCAGTTTCAGTTCTCAAGCATTTCACATGGCCTGGCAGAAAGCTGGGTTCTGCTTTGTATTGGGCGGAGGAGTGAGTGAGTCAAAGAGGGGATTTTGTGGAGTAGGAAGCGCCACCCAGTTGCATAAATTTGAGGAGCAGCTCTTAATAAACATAAATTTGTGTATTAATGATTGCCTAGTCGCATGGAGAATGGGGCCACGTCTAGGGAAATTATGCAAAAGTGGAAATTCATACAACAATTAGTACGATTGCAACAAGAAATGGGTTGGAGCGGCAGCTGTAGCTGGAGGAGCACCCAGCTTCAGGGTAAATGCTTCTCCTACAATTCTCCAAGTGTTCTGCTCTAGCGACAGTTGTTAACGGGTCTATCTTTGAGTCAATTGCGGCATTGGTCACACTGAAATTACTCGTTGAACTCGTGGTACTCCTCATCTACCATCTTCATACGTTCTCTCTGCAGATTTCAGCCACGGGATTGCCATCTTTAGTCATAGCAACGCTCAATTATCGATCGAGTAGATCTCAATCACACCATGACTCACATATAACAAGATACAGTAGTTCCCCCTGCCCCTTCCAAGTGGTCTCGTCAGAGTTAAGAGTTAAGAGTTGAGACTGGAGCTGGAGCTGGAGCTGAATGTGGGGCGCTGAGAGCTGGAAGCTGGCAGGAGGCGAGGCCTAGGTGCGGCCACTAACATTAAACTAATTGCACGGACGGCATGTGCTCTTATTTCGACTTCGATTTGATTTCTTACACACGAGTCGCAACAAGGGCGTGGCATGGGGCAAAGTGCCGGAATGGTTTACCCTATGTTTCAGTGATCATTTATGGGAGTTTTGGGTGATCGATTGGCAAGGGAACACTGCCAGAGCCCACAGCAGCCGCATATACCCTCAGAGACAGCGCCGCAATGGCAGTTCATGGAAATGGTAATCAACACGAGACAATGGCAATCAAATGTGGCCAAATGGGCGTGGGCCGAGCCCAAAAACAAACACACACAAAATCTGTTGACAGTTGCCAGCCTCAGATTCGTCTACAATTTCATTGTTTTGGCCTCAACTAACCCCAAATAACCGATCTCCAGCCTCTACGCACAATGTTTGATCATTGTCTAAAGAGTCTTTGGCTGTCTCTTGTTGAACTGTGATTGTCGATTGTTGGCAGTGGTTGGGGCCAAGAGTTTCGTTTTGGCTAAGACTTCCGCTGCACGCTGCAGCTGACGAACGCTGAGAAGACGCTGATGATTTCACTTGATATGCTTTTAATGTGTTTCTTTTGCCACAAAGTCAGAGCTGGAGACAAGAGCCAGGGCAGGGGCACTCAACTGCAACGAAAGGCAACCCTCGGCTCGACTGGGCGACAACAAAAAATGAGACAAAAAGAACAAGCCAAGAAGCAATCCAAGCGACTTCGTGTACGTCTTGGCTTCGTCTCGGCCCTGGCTGTGGCCCACTCTTTGCTCGGAGTGTAATAAAGTAGCTGCAAAACAACTGCACAGTCGCAGCATTTTCCTGGGCTTCAATTACAATGAAGGGGCCCCCGAGATGGTCAACAATTGGATCAGACCATGATACGAGCCAACACAAAACGGAAGGCACTAGGGGGTAGACGAAGAGGGCTTTGGGTAAAGGCTACACATCTTATGCTCATAGACGACTCGCACATCATTTCACAGCCACAAGTGGTACACACCGGGACTGAGACTGGGACTGAGACTGAGACTGAGACTGGAACTCCCCAGCCACTCCCCTTAGATTAGTTCACACGATAAGCCAAACAAACGGCATGGCCAGCAAGAAGGCGAACAAGGGGGAGTACTGGGGTGGGAGGGGTTCTGCCTGGTTGGCAGCTAATATGAATTTGATATTTATGACCAAAACCAAATGATGATTGGCTGTCATTAAGAGTGTGAGAGAGAAAAAACACACACTCCAAAGGCAAAGTGCGTGCCAAAAACCTTTTCCAGTTTATTCAGTTATAGTATATAATGTATATATGCATTTATATATCTGATATATGCAAGGATTTGTGTGTGCTACACCTGCGCAGTCGTTCAAGCAGCTGCCAAAAAAAGAAGCCAGCAAATGTGGCTTCGAGTCAAGACTCAAGACTCAAGACTCAAGTTGGTTCCGGCTGACGGAGTTGCCTGTGAATTGAAGAGCAGACTTTATTCTTCTTTATTTTTCAGCAGACAAGTTTCGTAGACTCCTTTGGCAGCTCTTACCTACCCCCACACTGACTACGTCTTGATGGTGCCCTTACCCTAACCCTTGCCCTGGCTGAACCCTCTTCTTCTCAGTGTTAACCTGTGTTTCCCTGTCTGACTGACTGCTGCTGCTGCTGGTGGTCAGTAGTGGTGGGCAGAGCTCAATGAGATCGTTTAAGCGGCAGTCAACAAAAAATTACTTTCTTTTAGCATTTCCCTTCACAGCTACAGTGAACACTCTTCCTTGCAGACTTCATTTTGCACTCCCTTTGCTACATTGAAGGATTCTAATTGGATTCATTAATCCGCTGCTGCTGGCATTATGCAATCCAATCACAGATTTTCCATAGGAAGTGGCAATTATGTGTACGAGGGCAACCCCATATGGCGACACTCGATAAATATTCATGAGAACCACAGCAACAAAGTAGCTCCAAATGGGATTGCAATCAGAGACAAGAGCCAAGAGACAAGAGCCAAGAGCCAAGAGGGAGCTACTGTTCTGAGCCATAATGGCGACTTCATTAGAACCGGAGACCCTTTGGGCGACTAATTGAGACATCAATTGAAATGGAAAAGCAAAAAGGTAACGAAATGGAGCCCAGGCCGGAAAACACTTTCCAACGGACCTTGTTTTGGGGCGACGCACACACAGAAATATTCAATTTCCAACACGAACAAAAGACTCGAGACACGAACTCGAACTTGCCACAGCAACAAGAAATGGTTCAGCCACAGTTTAAAAGGTTCATTGAACATGGACAACCACCATGAACAGCTTTCGAATGGCCTGACATGATGTTGTTGCTGTTTTTACAATTACCCAAACAAGTCTGAAGACGGGAGGCATACGAAATGCGGGTGTGGACTGTAGAGCCACCAAAAACCAACCACAACCACACTTACAATCATGAGCGTATGAGTAACGCTCTTTTGGCCCTGAAACAACAGCCAGCCGATGGCCCTGATGCCTACCAAAAATTTCACACAGAGCGACAGATAGACACAACATGATCAAGGAGACACAATGCCGGACACAATTACCGAATTGAAATACATTTTTTGGGTCGTTTTTTGTTTTAGCTGAGACACTGCCAAGTTGTGAACAGAAATGAGCAATAACCACAATGGACCCCGAGCGATGTACTGTGGCCCAGAATCTATAAAAAGATGACCACCAGCCAAAGAGGCTTTCAGGTGGATGAATATAAAATGGAAATGAGACACGCAGAGTTATGTCCTTTATCGCAAAATTCTCAATTTCCAGCGATTTTTGATGCCTCAATTGTGTTTTTGCCATCTCTTTTCGTTGTGTACACAAACTCACATCTCTGGATTTCTCATTAGCCAATCGACTGAGTTCCCCATGCCCATTATTATACTCTCTCATTAGGGATTTTTGTGTGGTGTTCGCTTTGTTGCAGCTTGCTGCCGTGGGGCTTGGGGCTTGGGGCTTGGGGCAGCGGCAATTTGCCTCTAATTGAGACACAATCAATCACCAGGCGACCAAAATTGTATTGGATTGATTGGCTGGTTTGGGATTGAAAGTCGCGCTACACTTCCGTTGCACCATTCATGTTGCATTTTCAATTAGTCCGCTCGCCGCTTTGTATTTACACGGCATTTACATTTACATTTACATTTACATTTACATTTTACAGACATTTGCGTGGTCAGAGTCGGAACTCGGACAACTTCGAGACCCAAAAATCACACTCAGACTCAAAGATCGAGCCAGAAAAAAGGTGAAAGCAGCCAACGTCGGCAAGATTAGAAATTCTCTTTTATATTTAATTTTGTTTTGGTTTCTTCGTTTCTTTCGTGTTTTGCTGTTGTTTGTGTGTCGGTGGTAATCGTAATGGTTATTGCTATTGCTATTGCCAGAGTGCCCCAAAGAATGCCCATTTCCTGTACCTTTTTGGGGTATTTTTGGCTTACACCAATTTTATTTTTGCGGCTCTTGGGCGATTTTCCATTTTCCATTTTCCATTTCTACATCAATTTCTATTTGGTGTCAAAACAGGTTTCGGCATTGCACAGTGGCTTAGAAACTGTCAAAATGTGTCCAATTTGTGCACAAAAATGAATGCTTAAAGAGACAGCTAAACTTTCAGAATTTAATCGATTTAGTTCTCTGATCCACTGTGGCAGCTGATTTGTGGCATATTTGGCCAGCTTCTGGGCTTCCACTGCTCCACATTCCAGCTGGAATGCATGCCCCGGACGCTGTGTTTCCCTGCTGGCGCTGCTCTTCGTGTGTGTGTGTGTGTGGCCTGGGAAATTTGGGAAAACTTTGATGTGTGGTCTCTCCATTAGGCAGCATTCTGGCCACGAGCCACCCACAGACAGCAGCAGCAGCAGTGGAAAAAGCGAAGCGTGGACCACCCTGGGAGGGTCACAAGGGGAGAGGGCAAAAGGGATTCGCGCTAAGATGCTTATGGGAATGTTTTTTTGTGTGTGTTGGAGGGAAATCAAATGATTAATGAGGTTGGGATGTGTCGCATCTGCTCTCCCAAGCAAGATGAATGATGTTTTGCTGCGGATCGGATGTGGGCTCCATCCATCCAAACAACCAGCGATCCGATACGATACGATCCATCGGTCGATGGCCGTGACAGGCAATTG